AATGTAGAGCCTGTTCCCTTCCCTACTTCTGCAGCTAACACTACCAGCTAATTGAAGGCCTCTGCTTGCCAACATTAGATGCACAGTCATGGCAGAAACCAAGTCAATGTCTCCCCTTCATTCAGTGACAGAAGATATACAAAATTCCCTGCACTTCCTCCAATTTTTTTGTGAGTACTAAGACAGACCTAGATGTTTAGCACGTTCTCAGTAATAGCAGCCTTAAGGAGTTCAGCTTATTTTAGTCCTACTATGCTTAACACTAATACTTCATAGGCACTGCAGTAAATTTAGAGAAGATCCAGTTACTTAGCAAACAATTTATGTCTTATCATGCTGCTACTAAGATACACCTACAAAAAAGACTAAAGCTCTAGTCTTACAGCTACGGGATAAGATCACATCAAGCTAATCTACTGATCAATTAGCTAACACTTCATCATGTAGATTTTCCAATGTATTCAATCAGCAGTGAGCTATACTTGCACAAAACAGTTTAGCCATTCTTTAGTAAGGCTGCTGTGCTAGTTTAAAACTTAAGCTAAAGCATTTCAGATATTCGAGAAAATATATGAATAAATTTTTATTTTTAAGCAACAACACACACTATTTTAATACAAGCCACACATTTAAGTCAGGTGGAGAGTACTAAACTGAACAATGATCACCCAAACATTTCCACTGGAAATGTGTTAAAGTTCACAAGTGTCTTTATTACCACCTTACCGAAGTTTTCTTATGTGTTTCTAGTCTACACGCCACATGTTTCACACAGTCATGCAAATCTGAATCAAATTTTAAATGTTCAGGTAACAAGGAAGTCCATCCACTGCAAAGATTCATATTTCACAGAAGAGCCAGGCTAGGTAAGACCAAATACTGCAGGATTCTTCATGAGAGTACAGGTATTTTAGAAACCATGAACTTTCAGTTGTTCTTCCTTGACAATGCCAATCTAAAGGAGAAAAGCAACATATTTCAGTAAAGCTTACATGCTTCAGATATTACAGTGATACCAAGCTACCACAATCTTACACTCTGAATAAAGAAACTGCAATACAGTACATACTCAATAAATCACTTTTCTAGTTTCCAGAATGTTTCTAGGCCAAGCAGAAGAACTGCCCGCACAAAAAAGAAAATCTTACCAGACATCTTACTGGTTCTGTAGTCCTAGCACTTACTCTTTGACAGAGTAACATCACTGCATTGTTATTTACATCTGTAAGCCTCTTTCCTCTATAGTGTTTTCAGTCTCAAAATTATGGTTTGCATCAAACACTTGATTTTACAAATGAACAACTTAAGTTGCAGTGCCAGAGAACACGTGGTATGTTGTAGCAGTCAGGGTAAACGCACTGTACAGTGTTTTAATTCTTACTGGAGGTTTAACCTCATTTTGCATTTTTGGCTGAAAATACGAAGGAACTATTGTGGATATCTTGAGCTGGCAAATTAACATCAGTGCCACCATCACTCTATGGCTTCCAGAGAGGTTTAGATATTTATCTGCAGTCCCTCACCTCCAAGAGGAATTGGCAAATGTTCTTCCTCTGATCACCTTGAAGCTGGATAACTTCACCGTATTCAGGATGTTCAATCACAGTACCATTACAAGCAAATTTCTAGAGAGAAACATTCATATCATAAGACATCTGATGTAGATTATGATTTTGCTTAAGAAGTCTTTTCAGCAGAATTTTGTCACAGAAGCTGCTTACTAAATTCTGATGTCAAGCAAGGCAAAGGCTAGATCTATTTTACACTGCTTTTGAGAGCAAACGGAGTATCTCTGCTGATTCATACAGACACAAACTAAGCTGCTGACGGTAAATTCAGGCAAAGACAGGATTAGCTACTGTGCAGAAGGAACTGACCAACACTCATTACAAGAATGGAAAACAAAGTCATAACACACAGCCTTTCAACTCCACACTACTTTAAAACAAATATTTTCATCCTGATGAAACTCAAGATCTCCATTTT